GTTAGTTTGAACTACCATAGTACGATGCATCGTTAATGCTAACTTCCGTCGTTGTTCGAGAAACGCACCCCAGGAGCTTTACCTATTTTTAGTTTGTTTAATGCTTGATTTAAGTCATCCAGTGATATATCAGAATCACAAATTTCTTTGAATACAGAATCGATTACTGGAATATGAGGTTCAATCTGATCAAAAAAACATGATGAATCAGTAATTAGATATTCCGAGGAGTATAAAATTGAGTAGAATTTATGTAATTCTTCCGCTATAGTCTTGTGATTTGTACATTCCTCCCCATTTACAATTAATGTATTAATAGATTTTTTTTCCTGCCTCCGTTTCTCCAAATAGTAGAAATATGAAGTACTTTTTTCACCTTCTATCCATCTTGCACGAGCTCTAATGTATGCTCCATGAGCCTTTTTTTTGTATAAATCATCTAATTGAGCCTGTAAAGACAATAGGGATTCCTTATCATGCTCTGACATAACTTGTCTATTACAGTAAATATTTATACTGTAAAGTAATTTATTTTCAAATTCCTTCTGTTGTCTTATTCTCCTGTTACTAAATGTAATTGAAAATGATCTAACTTTAAATTAAAAAAATTCCCATCTATGTAAGTAGTTGCCAATTGTCACATCATTGTAAATTTTATGAAGGAGCTTTTTAACTAGCTCGACAAACCCATCATCACTTAACAGATCTGCATTAAATTTCCAATAATCTCTTTTAAATTGCGTTTTATTTTCAGGGTTAAGTTAAAGAATAATAATACTGTGATCTGTCAATGGGGCTGCTGAGATAGAAACGTGTGAAACATATCTATATAGTAAAGTCGAGCCCAACCACAGATCCAGTCTGGACATATTATTACCATTTGGTTTAATCCAAGAGAATTGGGTAACTCCAGGGTTTTTCTCTCTCCATATATCACTTAAATTGTTTGAGTCAATGAACTCTGTCAGAGTTGGATTCCACTGATTGGTACTGTATCTGGGGGGATTTCTATCCTGCCATTCATTTGGAACAAGATTAAAGTCGCCGCCTAGTAATACATGGTCTGTATGGTATAAATGTTTATACTGGGAAAGGACATCTGTTATTTTGTCCAGCATGAGCTTATTTAGAGTTAAAGAGGAATACCCATATACATTTACTAGAATCACAAATGAATTATCAATATTTAATACAACTGCCAGCCAGTGTCCTGAATAATGAGTCTGAAAAGTTACGACCTTTCCTGGACATCGATTCCTTAGAGCTTTACAATTTAAAAAAATATTTGCTTGTAATTTTAATTTTTTTTTAAATTGTGTGTTCAATCGCATTGAGACGTGATACCATGAATGCACTAATCAAATATAGCATGATATTTAACATGTTTCAATTTTAAAAGAGTATTGTACTATGCTCTCATTGTGAACAAGTGCCGATTCCTTGTGTCAAAGTTACACACTAACCATAATTTGACACGGTATATTTTTTTTATTCTTTTTTGATTCTTCAGTAGTATATTTTGACAAGGTAGTAAACATCGTCAGAAGTGGCTGTATTCCAGGCACTTAATTCTTTGCATAATTATTACAAAAACATTATTAGTAATAAAAGTTTATTTAATAGCCTCTATAGTAATTATAGTGCTACAATGGTAATATTGCTTTTGTATACACTGGCTGACTATTGGAAAAAAATCTTTCAGATGCACCGATCTATCTGTGAGGCTGGTTCCTATCCAGCTCTAGAAGAATGCCATGTTTGTTGTAAGAGACTTTTTCACTGCCCGCTGTGTCCTACCTTTAAACCCAGCAAAAAGACAGTGATTGAGACCCATATGAATCTTCATGTAAAAAGGGCATTGCATTTTAAAGGTAAGTTGACTGTGCAGCTGTGTAAAAGCGTGTAAAAGTTTAATGGATACACACATTTCTTTAGGAATATTTAGATAAATATTATAAAGTGTATTGAATTAAAACATAAGCTAATTACCTATTGTTACATTTCTAAAAATAATATTTCATAATTTATTATAATAAGAACATAAGAACTATACAAACGAGAGGAGGCCATTCGGCCCATCGAGCTCGCTTGGGGAGAACTTAAAATCTTGTTGTTAAAATCTTATCTAGCTCTGATTTAAAGGAACCCAAGGATTCAGCTTGCACTACATTATCAGGAAGACTATTCCATACTCTAACTACACGCTGTGTAAAGAAGTGCTTCCTTAAATCC